GTGGCGGAGGCGGTGGTGTTGCCGGCCGAGTTCGTCACCATGCACGTGTACTGGCCCGTGTCCTGCACGGTGACGTTGGTGAAGTTGAGCGTTCCGTCGTGCAAGACGGAGATGCGCACGCGGTAGGAGCCGTGGGTCATGAGGGTGCCGTTGGGCGTCAGCCAGTTGACGGAGGTCATGGAGGTGCCCGTGCGGCACTTGAGCTCGGCGGCCATGCCCTCGGTGACATTGAGGTCCGTGGGCGGCTCCACAATGACCGGCGCGTAGCAGGTGAAGTGCGACTGGTCCAGCTCGCCGATGTAGCGGCCCTTGAGGCCTGCCGGCGCGTGGCAGCGGGCGCAGCACGTCGTGTTGCTGGGCACCGTCTCCTTCAGCCACCAGCTCAGCCAGAGCACGTCGCAGTTGCAGTGCCAGGGGTTATGGTTGAGGTGCACCCGCTCGAGGCGGTGCAAGGGTGTGAAGAGGTCGTGGGGAAGCGACATCAGGTTGTTGTGGGACAGGTTGAGCTCCTCCAGCGACTTGAGGTCGTCGAAGGCATTGCGCTCGATGGTGGCCACCTGGGCGTGCATCAGCCACAGCTTGCGCAGGCTGGTGAGGCCCTGGAAGGAGCCCGGGCGGATCAGGTCCAGCCGGTTGCCCGACAGCTCCAGCTCCTCCAGGCGCACCAGGGCGGTCAGGTTGGGGATGTCCTTGAGGTTGCACATGCCCAGGTTGAGGTAGCGCAGGTTGACCAGCCCCTCGAAAGCTGCCTCCGAGATGTACTCCAGCCGCTTGAGCTCGCCCAGGTCCAGGCGGCGCAGCGAGGGCACGCGGTTGAAGGCGTAGGAGGGGATGCTCTCGATGGGGTTGTTGCGGAGCCAGAGCTCCCGCAGCTTGGACAGGTACTCGAAGGCCTGCGTGGGCACCGTGGTCAGCCGGTTGTCAAAGAGCTCCAGCGTGTTGAGGCTGGGCAGCCCGTTAAAGGCGCCCACCTCGATCTTGCGCACAAGGTTCTTGCTCAGCTGCAGGATCTCCAGGTGCCGCAGGTGCTTGAAGGTGTCTGTGCGGATCACCTGGGGGTGGGGAGGAGAAACGGATCAGTGATACTGACCATCACACGGGCACCGCGTGCTGACAAGAGTGTGGAACCACCGGATTTCTCATACTTGGCTGGTGGGAGAATCAGATGGTGAGACCACTTTGGAAGAGACTATAGCTGCTGACAATGTTAAGACGGGGCTGCCACGCCTCCGCCATTGCACTCCTGGGCTCTTCCTCAAGAGTAATGAAAACAGATGTCCACGCAACAGTCGCGGCGTGGGTGTTCACAGCATTTCTGTTCATTACAGCCTGGAATGGAAACCCCAAATGTCCACCAACGGGTGAACAGCAAGCACAGTGGTTCGTCCCCACAACAGAGCCCTACCCCTCGCCCTCAAGGAAGGAACCGCCCCCCCACGCTCCCTCCAGCCTTGGGCGGAGCAGAGGAAGCCCCACCAGGCAGCCAGAGGCCTGATGCCACGCTCCAGGGGTCCCCAGTGGGTGTCTTCTAGTGTGGGTGGGGTGGGGGCAGGGGGAAGGGACATGAGGGAACGTTCAGGGGCAATGGAAATGTTGTCTATTGGGGTGGTGTTATGTGGGTGAGTGTAACTGTCAAAATTGCCAACTGTACACTTAAAACGGGGTCCTTTATTATGTGTAAATTATACTTATTGTAAAAAATAATAAAAGATCAAGAATAGGAATAGTAGTAACTAACAGGCATTGAACATTATTTGGTGCCAGGCACTACTCTAAATG